TTTTTTTTTTTTTTTCGTTGATTGATTGATTGATTGATTGATTGGTGGGGGCGGGGTCGCCCCCCCCCACACACACACACGCAGTATTGTATATTTCCATGTTCTAACGGAAGATTCATTCGATTTTCCTTCTTTTTTTTTTTGTTGATTGATTGATTGATTGATTGATTGATTGATCGATTGATTGATTGATTGATTGATTGATTGAGTGGTGGGGGAGGGGTCGCCCCACCCCCACGCCACCCACCACGGGCGCGCACACACACACACACACACACACACACACACACACACACACACACACACACACAGGTTTTGGAAAAGGTACCCCCCGAGAGGAAGAAGGATGGACGGCTGGCCCGACAGTGGATGGTTCAGCCCCCCCGAAATACTCGGACCCAGGTAAGTTTGCCCACATGATGAATGTTGAAAGGAGATCCCTGAAAACACAGGTTCCAAGATCGTTTCGGGTAACCAAATGTGACTGAGATGTCTGCAGTTGGGCCTCGAGCCAGGGGCATATGGATCAAGTAGGCATGTACTCACAGGCCCGCCCATCGGTATCTCCCGATGGCTAGCAATTAGCTGTCCTTTTTCGATTATGCCCTCCACTGGGATAGTGGGCGCTACCTTGCACTAAACGACATCATGTAGGCATGCACTCACAGACCCACCCATCGATATCTCCCGATTGCTAGCAATCAGCTGTCCTGATATGATTATGTCTTCCACTGGGATAATGGGTGCTACCGGGCGCTAAACGGCACCCGCACCACTGAAGTAAAAAACAATCCCTGAGTTCTGGGAACTCAACGGCAGTCTCCAGGATGTAGATAGACGGGGGTAGGTCTAGGTTCCCTTGAATCTTAATGATACTCAGCCAGTACAAGCCAACCTTATGGGTTCTGTCGGAAGAAGGGAATGTTTGGGCCCTCCCGCGCGCGCTCGGTCCTATGCAGCCGTGTCCCTTGGTCCTGACGTATTCCCTTCCTTTTTTGTTTTCTCCTTTTGGTTATGGAATTTTTTTTGAAACTGTTCCTATACTACTATGTGCATATATAGTTGCTCTATCTCTGGATGAAACATGCGTCTGTTGTACTACTTGTCTAAGTAAGATTTCTGAATGAGTGATGTGCATGGTGAGTGGCAGACCCACGTGCAATTACTGAGGATCGGACCCTTTGGAAGCGAACGGTGTCTTTGGTTATGGCGGACTGGGATCTCACGACGGGAGCGAAGGAAGAAGTGTCAATTATGCCGGAACCCGAGGAGGAGATCGCAGCGAAAGAAGTGGTCTACGGTCCTTAATTCTCCTCTCTATGTGTGTATGAATGGGATATGGCTGCTTGTGTTAGACTGTGTATGGATGTGGCTGTTTTGCATGTTTATAACCCCTCTGGTGAGCCGGTTGAGTGGCAACGGCGAAAAAGCTTTTAGGGGAGCCACACCCCTCCTGTGGCGATGTGCTATCCATGAAGTGGGACCGGGCCCCCATGTGTAGTGCTCCCAGACGTTCTGCTAAGCCAAAGCTCACTGTTCGCGGACTAGGCATATGGTTATCTAATTGGTTGTGGGATCGGAGTTAAATTCTAGTTATATAGCTACGACTATTTTAGCAACTCTTGATGAATGAGTGCTTTCGGAATCAGTCTGATCTTTTTCTTTTTCGTTGCTATGTTTCTTTTCTTTTCTTTTCTTTCTTTTTTCTTTCTTTTTTATCTCCCTGAATTCACTCGTCAAACTCTGAACCTATTGTGCCACCGTACCTGGTTCTTGATTATCTCGCTCCTCCACCATGGGAATCCAACATTCTTGGTTCGACCCCCCCCGGATGTAAGTTCTTTCGCTCCCAGTTGCTTCTCTACCCTGCGCTCCGATTAATGAAATCCCTGCCTGATGAACCTGTTACCTCAGGATGCAGCTCTGGACATGTGATGATTATGTGATTAATTATTATTATTTATTATTTGTTATTTTGTGAACCATTGATTCTTTCGCTGTTAATTGCTTCTTTACCCTTTGCTTTGTATCTTACCTCCTATGAATAGAATCCCTGCTTGATGTTGCGAACTGTTGGTTTTCCTTATCTGTTTGTCAAAATATCCTCATCCTTTGAGTTGTGCATGGTACCAATCAACCTCCTCCTCCACATCCTGGACGGACTATGGTTCCTGATGCCTTGTCCCGCTCCCTGGTTCCTAATCACACCCCTGGTTATCCTACTTGACAATCCTGATCGCTTGCTTGAATAAAAGCAATTTGTGTGGGCATTGTTGCCATCCTATCATTTCTGCGTCAAGGTACATCGAGTATGGTGGCTATGGAAATGGTATGGTTGGGACATGACTGGACCTGGCGTACCACCGAATTGGTGGAGTGCATGGCAGATACGTCATGGGATTATCTAGGACACACACATGGAGGGTCACCCCTCTAGCTACTGCAGGTGGGTTGACTCCCACGACTGCGCCTTGGAAGCCGGATCAGACCAATGCTAATTACTGCAGTAAGCCCACCTGATTGCTCGGATTTTCGCATGTTGATGCATTGGGAATGATGTACTTACTGCACTTTGTGCTTCTGCTGTTGTGATGGTTTGGGTCTATACGAATCGGTTCCTTACGATGAATCACCTATTACTACCCTATACCAAACCCTGATGGAAACCTCTTGTAAACTCACCCCTGCTTTCCCTTCCTCTTCCCCTTCCCTGATCCCTCCTCTACGCGCTTTATCTGCATTACGGGCTAAATCCTGAGCAGGAACCCCAGTATGACAGGAATGTAGCTGGCGGGTGGTGGGCTGAGACTATTGATAGGAACCCCTTCCTCATGGATTTAGAACCATACTCCAAACCCACCCAATCCCTTATTAATGTCATCCACCCCTCGGTGACTGCCCTGATTGGTCAGAAAGTCACAGAAGGACAGTTCCCTCTCATCACGGAAACCCTCCTCTTCAATGATTGGGTTGACCTTGCCTGGTCTTACGAACACGAAAGGCACCGGGTAGACCTCATCTTGAATGGTCATATAGCCAAAGTGGAGGATAAGAGGAGGAACATGGCCAAGGAAAGTGAGGGGATACTGGATAAAACCACTAAGTTGGAGGAGACCCTTAAGAGGATCTGGGAAGTCGCGAAGGATCTCGGGGTAGATGACACAAGGGTGGATGGAGATGGGTACGATCCGGCACTCATGGGGATAATGGGGGAGAAAGAGGAGGAACTCAGGCAACTCCTGGACAACCAGCCTCCGGCCCCTCCTCCACCAGAGGGAGAAGGGGACGAGGCGGGACGGAACAAGAGGAACGGATTCGTCCCCATCAGCTCGGCACAATGGCTCGAGGGAAGAGTGAGGCGACAGCAAGATAGGGGGTGGGTAGGGAGTGGTTTCAACAACTTGGCCCCGATTGATATCAAGGGCTGGAAGTTCCTAGCCAACATCTCTAAAAGCGAGGTCGAGAAATGCCAGAGGAAGGCATTAGCAGGAACACTGGACTATGCCAACACTACCCCACACTTCGGCGGTAAACTCACCTTCCCTACCCTGAGCATGCTCGATACTGCCAAGTGTGTGTTTGCTAACCCTGTGGTCATGCAAAAAATGATTCCATCATCCCTCTGTCTGGATATGAGGAACCTCCGCAAAGTGTGGAACGCGGGTCGCCCGTACCTAAAATGCAGATGTGGGTATAGGAACTCCTGCACTTGTAATGGTGGGCCCATCTGGTTTGATCACGCCGTCTCGTACCTGATGGCGAAGCCAGAAATCGTTAAGCCTGAAGCTGGCTCGAATCGGGTCAGGATTGCGTTCCTCCTCCACCATTTGCGCAATTCCTGGAGAGAACTCGCTAAGGCCTCAGTTACATTCATTTGGATGAGGGAAATGATGCTCACTGTCTTACGCAATCTCGAACGTGACCCTGATCTCATGACGGCCGACGCCCTTGCGGGAAGCACGTTCAAAACACATCCTTGCCCGAGGATCTTAGCCAACTTGATCCTCCCTACGCGGATCACGGTCCCGTGGGCTCCCTAGCCCGGAACTGCCCAATCCGAGGAAGAAGAAGAACAGATCCCCTACCAGCACAAGGAACAGAAGGGTCTGCTCGGTGTCACCACGACAGCAGACCTTGCCAAATTCATTCAGAGTTGCAGCTACTCCCCTGGGGGCATCCTCCTCTAGCCCCGCGAGCGCGACCAGCAGCCAGCAGTCCACGATCATCATTGATGACCTTCCTGACAGCGCCATGAGGGCAGGTGGCGCATCCAGGAAGCGCAAGAGCACAACCTAGAGAGTCTTGACGGTCCTCGCCGGCCCCTTCCTTCTACGCACATACATATGTATATATACATATATAAATATATACCACCTCTGGCTAATAAAAAAATATATATATACATATATATGTGCATACTCACATATGTACGTATGTATATGCATATATATATATATACACATATATATGTATCTGGGGGTTTCCCGCCCACTTCCCATCCTCTGATTTCCCTTCTCTCCCATCTCCCCTCTCCCATCTCCCATCTTCCATCCCCTTGCCTCCTGCTCTACCCCCTTTACCTCTCTGAACAGATAGCAGGAAACAGGTATACAACCGGAGATGTGATCTGGAGACATGCTCGCCGCCTAGCTGCATCTAAAAGAGAATTACGAAGTGCATGCGACGTCCTTATCGAAAGGAGCAACCAGATCGTTGTCACCATCCTGAGGGAGGAAGGGGAGGAACTTGTCGGTATCACCCAACCGGACTCGGGCCTGCGTATATGGACCAATCTCATCCTGCACGGACTAAGTATCAACCATGACGTTGTTATTAGGGACTTCAGTAACCTTTGGCGCACCCACAAGACGGTCCTTCTTGCGGATGCGGATGCATGGGATATGCAAAGGTGCCGACTGGAAAGGAGAATTGTGGAGCTGAGAAGATATAACCTTCTATTAACTAGTACTCTCCACTCTCTCTCCATCTTTGCGCTCGCCCTTCGCTACACCGTTACCTTGACAATCTGAGAACTAATAGTAGCTACACATGGATGCAGGTCTGAGTTAGGGGACTTCAGCGGATCAGTAACAGGAGGTGGACTACAGCACTGTCGAATTGAGTCAAGGACTGCTCTCGGCTATCCATTTCTTAGACACCATGGCGGTGGAGATGGGTAGGCGCATTTCGGAGGTACTCAGGGTGGAGCTTGATCCTGATATCTTTCTGCCATGGCCACCAGCAGGTCCCACCTCGATCAGGATTGTCAAGCCAAAGATCTGGGAGGCTCAGAGGAGCTCCGTGCAACCGGCTGTATCGATCGGCAACTTTGCAATAGCGGATATCCTGACTGCGCAACCGCAAATCACGATTGTGGTTGGGGTCATACTTACTGTGGAATGTAAAGGTGTAGCAATTGGTGAGTTACGAGGCTTTGGCACCAGAACGGAGGAAGGGATAATCATTTGTGATGTAAGATTGAGGGGGGTCTCTGGGGATGAGGCATTCCCGGGTAAGCAGACTTGGCTACTCTGGCCTACGATGAGAACGACTATGGGAGAGGTAGCCTCATCGATAGCGGCTACATTGGACCATGGTGAAGATATTGGAGGGGATTGCTTCTATGGATTCGGCGGCCTGTTTGGCCCGGACTCGGACTATTGGGCAAAAATCTTGAGAATTGGGGACGCCCTGTTTGCGGAGCCAAGACCACGCGGACCATATACGGACGGAGCACTGGTACTGACTGGTTCGAATATAGCATATGCTGCTAATGAAGCAAGTGGCGGGATGGCAGGAGAAAGTGCGGGGGTCCATCCGGAGGCAGTAGCGCACTGTAGCAGTGCAGCCTGATTGATGGAGGCAAATGGAGGAACAAGGAAGGGGATGGATTGCCCCCCCAGTAACCTGATACATATAATCTCTCTGCCCCTTTCCGGTGTCTCTCTCTCTCTCTCTCTCTCTCTCTCTCTCTCTCTCTCTCTCTCTCTCTCTCTCTCTCTCTCCTCCTCGGCTTTTTCAGCATTCTCTTCCCCCACGCACCCCCCTCACTGCAATCGCAGCATGCCCCCCTCCCCTTGTCGTTGCACATGAACCTGCATATAAACACCCTTTCTTTCCCTCCCCATGATCCTCTTTCTGCCCCATTGCCCAACCTTCTCTGCCATATAGGGATAACTAAGGTGGATTGACTCGGATCCGACACCATTGTGTAATTTTGCTTCTTGCTGCTGCTTTTTCTCTTTTTTCGTGGAGCAGGGATACGCGGGTCGAATCGAGATGGGTCTCTCAGGTAGACGGAAATGGTGTAAGATAGAGGAGGAGCCACGGAAAAGATTTGTACATTTGAGATATGTGAGTAGGTTGATGGAGGCGGTCTTTGTCAGAGCACTGATCATCTCCTTGATGACAATGGTGGTTGGGCGGCACTTCGCGGAGTAGATGGAGACTGTCACCTTTGGCTGGTCTTACAACGAGCCGGTCTTGGGGATACTCTACAAGCCTGCGGAAGTATTTCGAGATTTTAATATAGAGCGATGGGAGAATAGCAAGGGTAGTTGTGCTTGTAATAGTAGATATGCTCGGTTTACCAATCCAGCCACTGAGGAACTGCTTGTTTCTGGGAAGATAGGAGGAGCCTCGGGATCCCATGTGATCACTGCTGACTACACCATCTCCCATCTACCCCAGCTCAAGATGATCCTGCAGTCCGGCCTCAATCATATTCTTACGACTAGGTTGGATATTGAGATAGTTGTTAAGGAGGTCTTGAAAGCTTTCGATGAGGGAGCATGATCTCCGGGAAGGGGTTTTAAGTAAGGTTAAAACTGGAATAAAGCAACACTGTTTTAGTAGGTTTGCGGAGTACAAGAGGAAGCACAGTGAGGTAGGAATCATGGATTTCAGTGAGCACTATCTCTCGCATGAGGTATCAATATAACTAAGTATTATTTTGTTGCATGCATGGACAAAGCTGCAAATACCTCGGTGATCATGTGTAAGGATCTTGTGAGGCAACTAGCGTTTGAGAGATTATTCGGATCCGACTTCGAAGTGCTTAAGCCTAGGTCGGAGGAGATGGTTAGCATTATGAAGAAGGACAATCCGCTGAGCTACCCTATGGAGCCCGACAAGATTCCATACCTAAAGGCGAACTTTAAGAGCCATAAGAACACTCTGAGATGGATCACGAATGCTTACCAATGTATGTTTTCTCCTGTCGCTACTCTATGTGCTGGTGCTTTGAGGTTGGTCAGTGAGGAAATGCAAAAATATTGTATGGAGATGTCTCGGACACTGAAGAGTCTGCATGGGGTCGAAATGAACCTGTGGTGGCCCATTGACTCCATCAATGAGTATGTCTTGAACCGGCCCGAAGCAATTTTCATATTCTTCTCGATAGACATTAGCCGGTGCATTGAAACGATCCCAACGGATAATTCAAAGCACGGGTTAATCTCTGCACTCTCCTTTGCGATCAAGAAAGCCTTTGGATATAGACTGAGAACGGAGGGTGACAAGTACATCAAAATTTCCTCATCGGATAATGGCAGGACCAAATACGGATGGACAAAATCAGGTATTACGAAGCCCGATGAAAGAACGATTGAACCTGATCAGCTCATCGAGATGAACCGATGGCTGGTGGACAGGAACTATATCCAATTTCGTGGAAAGGTCTGGAGGCAGAAGCACGTCATCCCAATGGGGTTGCCCTGCTCACCTATCTGGTGTAACCTATATTTTTTTCGGTATGAGTTTGCGTGCATAATGAGGCTGATAAGAACATGAAATAAACATTTAGTTGCACTTTTCTCACACACATTCAGATGTATGGATGATCTGAATGCACTAAACAACACCAGCATCCGTGAATTTCTCATGAATGGCCACCCCCACAGTGAGGATGACTCTATCTGGCTGTACCCCTCCGAGTTCATTGATATTAAGGAGCAAAGTATTGGGGACAAAACTGGCACGTTCCTAAACCTCAAACTAAAGGTAGAGACGCCAGAAGGATCGTACAACACTAGAAATTCGACAAGGTGGAGGAAATGGGGCTGAAGGTGAATAGGTATATCAGGTTCGATTCTAATACATCGATCACACAGTCCCTGTCTATCATCCTCGGACAGGTAGCTGCTGTACTCATCGTCTCGTCTAAACCTAGCACAACTGCGCAGGACATTAGGAGGATCGTACAGAGGATGAGCCGGAATGTGTTTAATAGGAAGAGATATTGGGGTATGACGAGAAGGGTACTTAGGAACCCCGGGCGTTTCCAGTCGTTCAGATGTGCGGCAGAGGAGGTTTATGACATCCTCATAACCTCTCATGGAATGAATTACTGACCCCCTGCGTGTTATGTGCTTGTAGTGTGATGTATGTCTGTGTGTGTTGTGGCTCTGAGTCCTCCTAATTAATGGAGGACCATAGTGGTATCTGCAAGGGACCTGTCTGGGACAGGTACCCTTATAGGTACCTGTCCCAACCAGAACCCCCTCGAAGTGGACAGTGGGAGGGACACACACACACACACACACACACACACATATACACAGGTTTTGGAAAGGTACCCCCCAAGAGGAAGAAGGATGGACGGCTGGCTCGACAGTGGATGGTTCAGCCCCCCCGAAATACTCGGACCCAGGTAAGTAGGCCCACATGATGAATGTTGAAAGGAGATCCTTGAAAACACATGTTCCAAGATCGTTTCAGGTAACCAGATGTCTGCAGCTGGGCCTCGAGCTAGGGACATATGAATCAGGTAGGCATGTACTCACAGGCCCGCCCATCGGTATCTCCCGATGGCTAGCAATTAGCTGTCCTTTTTCGATTTTGCCCTCCACTGGGATAGTGGACGCTACCTGGCACTAAACGACATCATGTAGGCATGCACCCACAGACCCACCCGTCGGTATCTCCCGATTGCTAGCAATCAGCTGTCCTGATACGATTTTGCCTTCCACTAGGATAATGGATGCTACCGAGCGCTAAACGACACCCGCACCACTGAAGTAAAAAACAATCCCTGAGTTCCGGGGACTCAACGACAGTCTCCAGGATGTAGATAGACGGGGGTAGATCTAGGTTCCCTTGAATCTTAACGATACGCAGCCAGTACACGCCAACCTTACGGGTTCTGTCGGAAGAAGGGAATGTTTGGGCCCTCCCGCACGCGCTCGGTCCTACGCACCCCTGTCCCTTGGTCCTGACATATTCCCTTCCTTTTTTGTTTTCTCCTTTTGGTTTTGGAATTTTTTTTTTAACTGTTCCTATACTAGTATGTGCATATATAGTTGCTCTATCTCCGGATGAAACATGCGTCTGTTGTACTGCTTACCTAAGTAAGATTTCTGGATGAGTGATGTGCATGGTGAATGGCCGGCCCACATGCAATTACTGAGGATCGGAGCCTTTGGAAGCGAACGGTGTCTTCGGTTATGGCGGACTAGGAATTCACGACGGGAGCGGAGAAAGACTTGCCAATTATGCCGGAACCCGAGGAGGACATCGCGGCGGAAGAAGTGGTATACGGTCCTTAATTCTCCTCTCTGTGCTGTCGAGAGCATCGGTCCGGCACCACACGAGGCAGCGCGGGACCCTCTGGGCCGCGGCTCGCAGGAGTTCGTTTTTAAATCCTTCGTCGCGAATATACATGGAGCTTCCGCAGGACGCTCCGGCCGAGTGCGTCAGCCATACCTCTTGCGAGCCCCTACGACAGGATAGGGCCTACGTGAGGCACAACTTACCTCCACCTTACGGGAGTTGTCACCTCCCTTCGGTGGGCGTATCCCCGCCGAGCTACCAGTCCACAGTACGAAAGCTAATCAGTTGCAATCGCAGAGGTGGACCAGCCGATGGCGTTTCTCGTTCGCTGTAGCATAGGGGGTACGTGCGGTAATATGCCTATCGGGCCCGCACGCGAACTGACATCTTGGGGGTCTGAAGTCCCAAGCGCGGCCCGACGTCGGTCGACTAGGACGGATCCCACTCACCACGCGCACACCGCTCTAACAAACACAACGAAAATAAAACACACACATACACACGAAACAACACGACACAAACAACGTGGCAACGCTCTTAGCCCCTTGGTGACCGTCCTATAACTTTCCGACGCGGAAATCGGATAGGTGTCGCGAGCGAGACTTTGTATAAGACCGCGCGGACGCAGGGCTAACTCATATCAACCCGCAATGCAAGCGTACGCAAGCAGTCGCAATGATGGCGTATTATGTAGTGTCCATAATCAAGCGATCCCTCGTGGATCCGAGTACCCCTTATGACACTCAAGTGTTGTCGTGAGGGTCTAATCCTCCACGACATTGCACGGCTGAAGGAATAGTCGTGTAGCCGCCGCGAGACCTCCGGCCTTTGGTCTGAGCGTCTCGGTAGGCAAGGAAAATAGGCTCTGCACGGGGGCAGATTCCTTCCCTGCAGAGTCTAGGGCTTGGGATGTCCTGGACAAGGACCTTGAATCCCGGCCCAGGACCAACGTCCGACTGTAAAAATCTCTAAAAAACAAAGGATAAAAGAGGGTCTTCCTCTTCTCTCAAGCCATAATCTGGTCAACCCTTGCGCACGATCACAGTAAGTCACGCACATACCCAAGGCGCATATAAGTATATACATAACGCTTATTTATATAGGACGATCACTTCTCACAGCCACAGCGGGACTCCTCTCATCCATATATGTATGTAATCGCAGGCAGCCACATCCAGAGTCCGAACCAAAAACACACCTGCAATCACATCAAAGATCCAACAAAAGTCCACGCTCTACACGGGGTCAACTTCAACCATTCCTTGCACTCATACCCCTCGCTTTAGTCATACAAGCCTCACTCGTGCTCTTAAATAAATACTCAGTACTTTTGTTGGATGGCCATTCAATAAAGTC